GGGGGATCTGCAGGAGAGTTGATACAATGAATTGAGCGCTCACAATATTTCACCTCCAGCACGGGCTTGATCTTACTGACGACTCTGCCAAGTATAATCTCTTCAGCAACCACAAAGACATTGCAACCATGTATACTCGATTTCTTTTGAATTGTTGTTTTCTGCAAACCAGATCAGAAAGATTGAAAGGCAGAGCATAAACAACGCTAGTTTGAAGACCGATTGCACCTGAGGAAGCTGAAAAGACGTAGCAATAAACACATCTATTTGATTAGTGCTGTGCCCCTATTGCACCTTTATTACCATTTTCGCCCAAACTGTCGCCCCGTTGTGAAATGGGGGTCACAAGAAAAGGCGATGAATAGCAATAATACCAGAGTTAACTAGCTATCCCTCAGCCGCCCAGCGTCCTTGGTAGGCAGAACCTAACCAGAGGAACTGGGTACTGAAGAATACTGTTCCTTTTTGTGGACAAATACCGATGCTCCTATGCCATGCCATAGACCTCCAGCCCAAATCCAAGCGACGCTGGTACATTGCACAAAGTGCAATTGCGCTTCAGGGAAGCTCGAAGTTGGGCCTTTTGATGGAGGTCTCATACCGTATGTTGATGGGGCAAGCTTAGGACAGTACTAGCCACTCTTCCAGTCGGTAACAAGTGATGCTCATAATTAGAACATACAGTACATTCTGAGTATTTTCAAGGGGTTTTAAACGCACATTCAGATCTTCAAGCGTTACATATCTCAGGCGACACTTTCCACGAAAACTGTAACAAAAACAGAGGTGCAGAAGCGTACCTATATCAAAGAGTAACTTGCCCTTGCTTGGGGACCGCCTTCCGAAGTCCTCGCAACATGCCCTCCGAGACATTGTAGTTTGCCATTGAGGCGCTTTGTCTTGTAAAGGAGCACTCTGTCCGGGGGTAGCCACCTGTGGCTTAGAGCTTGGAATCCGGAGGGATTCTGTGGTCCGGGTTGGTAGAATATCCGAGGTGAAAGGGTATGCTGAAAGGGAAGGGGCGGCTGAGACTCCGTACTTTGGGAATGAGCTGCTTGCCAAACGAATACGGCCTTAAGTAGAGGTAGTCTACGATGAAGAGTTGCAAATATGATGCTTACTGTGCTGCACACCCTCAGGGCACGTAGGACCAGTCGTATTTTAGTTGATGTCATGTGACGTAAACATGTTGCACCCGTATAAATCGACGGTTCATAATTGTCTAGATATGTCCAGTGGCGCATCTTGATTGGTCAAAACTCGAGCAAATCTCAACCGTTTGAGATCTTAACCCTAATCGTTCGTTGTTCGGTGCAAAATTGCATCAGACTGCGGAGCACTGGAACACTGAGGCTCTAGTTTCACTAGCGGCGGACGGCACAACATTAAATTTAATTATTTGGTGCCTGGAACTTGCGCGGAAGTCCAAAAAATGCGAAAAAATTGCAGTTCTGCCGGCCGCCAGTGAAACTGCGTCGCGGCACAACCGCCGGCACAAGAGTCTCAAACGTGCCACGGTGGCAGGCAAACCCCTAAACCACAGATGTGTCAAGAGCAGTTGTGCTGCCAGTGCAGACTCTGCGGAGTGCACCGTAGCTGGCGCGAAATGTGCCCGCCAACTTGAGGACCTGGCGCTATGTGAGTGGTCCATCGGACCACATGGGAGGCCGGCACAAAAACAATTTAGTTCGACCCAAGGTGGCACTAGGGTCGAACTTAATTAGTTGTTGTGCCGCTTACGTCATCAAATTTTATTCGAGTTCCGCCGGCACAACCGCTAGTGGAAGCGCGGTAGAGATGTTCCGATGTAGCCGGAGCCAATCAGCGAATTTAAAAAAGAAAAGCTTGTGCCGTCCGCCGCTAGTGAAACTAGAGCCTGAGCGCAAGAACACAACGTTTGAAGAATCGCCAAACGTAGGGACTGAAGTAACATTCACGCCACTTGGTTGGTTTTCAGATTGGTGCTTCTCACCTGCAGCTCTTGATTTGCTCTATTTTGCCAGGGGATACCCGCTCAGGTGACATGCATTTTACCGGAAGCAATGGATACTGTAGCACAAGAGCTTTCAACCTATGCTTCATCTTTTATGGCCAGCCATTCCCCACAAATTTTGAGCACTTCTTCTGCAACCAGTTCTGGATGACTCTCTGATATGTATCTCCCGCTCAAAATATATTCCCATGGAGATCTGCACGTATACAAGCACATACTGCAATCTATGTAGTGTTTAGCTCACTGTCAATAGTCTACACCTTGCTCAGGTTTTATGATGGCGGGCATTTCTGCAGTCAAGAAACCCAAAAGCGATGGTTTTGCTACTAGAGTAAAAGCAGCCATTGAAGGTAAGTTTCTTATTTGGTATTTTCTGCAACCCCGATCATGGTTTTTATGTCTATACTTGTTGTTGGGTCTTGAAATATTAAGCGTTAAGATTGAACCCTTGCCAGTGGCCAGTGATATTGTGTCTCAGGTTTGAAGGATGAAGTTCAAAGCATGCAGCACTTGCTAGAACAATGTCATCCTTGTTATGATAATGTTTGTGATGTTGTTTTGCAGGTTTGAAAGATGAAGTTCACAACATACAGCATCTTGCAGAAATAAAGAGTCTGCAACGTTTCTGTAGCAGGAGACAGGTTGAAGGTGATATCTGGGAAGATTATGGAAAACTATCTCAAAAGGTATTGGAGTTTCTTCCCAAAACCATGCCACAACGGTCTCGACAGATTCACACAAGATATATGCCTATTTTGAATCAAGGGTTGGTGCAAGTTCTTTTTGACGCCATGCATTCACAGGAGCGGCACATAGATGAACTAGAAAGAAGGATTGCTGAAATGAACAAGGAAGACTTTTCTGGGTTGAAGGAAAGGCAGGCGTTGCTTTTTGGGGAGAATAAGGAGGGGCAAGCGCTTGAACCGCTGGGGGCGCCGCCATCGGTGTTCCCTGAAGAGAAGCTGGCACCCAGGTCGATGCTCCCTGAGGCGGGGCAGGGGCAGGAGAAGCTTGTGTCAAGGTCGATGATCCCTGAGGCAGGGCAGGGGCAGGAGGAGCAGACGCCTGTACCGCTGGAGAGACAGTTGCCGCCATTGGTGTTCCCTGAGGAGGAACAGGGAC